ACTACCAGACACGTGGAGTTCCTCAGAGTCTGCTTTAATCTCTCACACGTGCTGGCAGTGAGCTTGGCCTGCCTCACCCACCCCCATGGTCACAAAGGGGCCGCTCCTTGGGATGTGAGGGCTTGTCCCGGGGGGCTCTCCTCATCTGGCCCTCCAACCTTGGGTCCCCACGATTTGTACTTTTGCTTCTGGACTCAGTTTCTCTCAGTGTATCACCTTTATGTCTATGGCACCAACAGGGTTAAAGAACACACCTTATCTATTACCCCATCTCGAGGGTTCTGATGTACTTTGCTCCATTCATAATTTAGTGAGGTGGACAGAATTGGATGAGTTCCCCCCCAAATCAATACACCAACGATGATTGCTTCAGGGCACTTTTGAGTGCTTCAGCACGGCCGAGGGGAGCTTTTGGTTGGAAATTGGTACTGCACTCACCACTTGGAGTTACTGCAGAGAGGGTTATGTAAACCAACGGGTGACCTGCTGCTAACATTTACATTGCAATAAAAGCTTCTTCTTCTTTTTTTTTTTTTGGAATGGTGCTTTTATGACATACTTACTATCACTGTTCCAGACCTATAATTTAAAAATTACTGCTCAATACCGAAGGCGAAATGATTTTATTGCTGCTGGTCTTTGAGGGTTGTGAGAACCAGCTATGGCTTGGAAAGTGTCCGTGGCCAGATGCACTGGCCACATCATGTCCATCGGCATGAACGTGCCTGCAGACGTGGCAGGCAGGATGGGCACACCGCGGCTGGGTGTGCCTGGATGCTCTCATGGGGAAGTAGACGCTCAGCCCTGAGCCTTGCTGTCCCCACCGGGGCTGACCAACCCTCTCGGAGGGCAGAGATGCTCAGAAGCTGCACTGAACTCAGAGCAGCAGCCCAGACCGGCTACCTCACCCCATAGAGCTGAGGGCGAATGTTATTATTATAACCATACATTTTGCCAGTTTGTTTTTAGCATTTTACATTTATTCTTTAATTTTAATTTTTTAATTTTAAGGATAGAGGGTACAATTCAGGGTTAGGTATACAAATGGTCATTGTACATGTATTAAAGTTATTTTAGTTGGTATTTTTTATGGCAGCAAATGATACACAATACAGAATTTGCCATTCTAACCATTTTCAAGTCTATGGCTCAGTAGCATTAGATATTCACATCGCTGTGTAACCATCACCACCATCCGTGCCCAGATTTTCCCAGCGAGACTCCTCACCCATGAAACAACTCCCTATCTGTGCGTACTCCCAGTCCCTGGCAATCATCATTTCACATACTGTCTCTATGAATTTGACTGCTCTGGGTACCTCTTTTTTTTTTTTTTTTTTTTGAGTCAAGTTTTCATGCTGTTGTCCAGGCTGGAGTGCAGTGGCACCGTCACGACTCAGTGCAGCCTCTAACTCCTGGGCTCAAGCAATCCTCCTGCAAAAGCCTCCTGAATAGCTGTGACTATAGGTGCACACAGCTATGCCCGGCTAATATTTTTTGATTTTTTGGTAAAGTCTCACTATGTTGCCCAAGCCGGTCTTGAACACCTCCTGGACTCGAGTAATCCTTCCACCCTGGCCTCCCAACATGCTGGGATTTCAGGTGTGAGCCACCGTGCCCCACCTAGGTGCCTCTTGGAAGTGCAATCATACACTATTTGTCCTTTTGTGACTGACTTATTTCACGTAGCATAATTTCCTCAAGGGTCATCCATGTGGTAGCATGTGTCCGAATTTTTGCATTTACATTCCATTTTATCTATTTGTTTATCAGTGGACACTTGGGCTGCTTCCACCCTTTGGCTATTGTGAATAATGCAGCAATGAACGCTTATGTACAAGGATCTGCTGGAATCCTTGCTTTCAAAGTTCTTTCCACCTTGAAGTGAAATTACTGGATCAAATGGTAATTCCATTTTTAATTTTTAAGGACCCAACTATACAGTTTTCCACAGTGACAGCACCATTTTATATTCCCACCAGCAATGCACAAGAATTTCAATTTCTTGCAAAAACTTGTTATTTGCTGTTTTTTTCTCTCTTAATAACCATCCTAATGGACGCAAAGTGGTATCTCTTTGTGGATTTTATATTTTTAATTCAAATAAACCTTAGCTCTCACTCTCTCTCTCAAACCACTTTTTTTCTCTTCTTACCTCTTGTCTTTCTACCACCATCCTCCAAAATTGGACTACAGTAACTTCCTTTCAGAAACCCACAGTCATAGGCCTTAATGATAATTTCTACCCAAATGGCAGAGATTTAAAAGTGTCATTGGAGAAACATGAATTTTCATGTATATGAGAGCAAAATAGCCATTGAGAAGACACCACCCTGTGAGGCGCCTCTGTTAGGGTCCCAGGAGGGATCTTACAAAGCACCCAAGGATGGTTTCTGCCTAAGGAGAGATTGGGCAGACAGACCTTTCTTTCTCTCTGCTGGCTCCAGGAAGCAGCTGACCCCGGCTGCTTGCAGTTCCTTCCAGAAGGCCCAGAGAGCTGGGGGTCCGTCAGTACATCCACATGCTAAAGGGGTGGCTCAGAGAATTGAGACATCCCTGCAAATGCTCTCCGGCTCTGCCTCTTGACTCTTCTCCTGGAAGAACAGTGGAAGAGTAAACATCAGTTCTGGGAAGAGTGGAAATGTTCTGAGGCCAGAGCAAGTTGGTGGTGAGGGGGGTTGGACCAGGGAGATGGCCATGGAGATGGAGAGAGGTGGGCAGATTTGAGAGACATGGTGGGAGCTAGCAGGTCTCAGTGATGGACTGGATGTAGGGGACTGGGGTAAAAAATATCGATTCAGTAACTGATGTGGCCATGAATTGAGTCTGGGCATCACAGAAAAAGTGTAGATGTGGGAAGTGTCTGGTCTACAGTTCAGTTTGGGCAATAACGGGTTTGCCCTACTGGAAGGCACCTGTCAGGGTTAGGGTTAGGGTTAAATCTAGACCAGGTGGTCATGAGACCTTTCTTTCAGTTTTATTTGCCAAAGACACTTTTGACCCTCATAGAGATCCGGGTATTTGCAATAAAGAGAGGTGATTACCATCCAACCCAGAGTCCTCTTAATTAGCGTTCAGCAAGCAGTCAGATAAGAGAGGGCTTGAGTTTGTGTCTGCCTGCAGGTGAATGGTGGAGGAGGAGGTGAGACCTTTCCTGTAGTCCTGGCTCCCTCCTGTGGGGCACATGGTGGTCAATGGCAGTGGCCCTGTTATTTGAGATGGGGACTTACGTGGGATGCCTCTGGGTCCCTCACCTCTCTGCGTGCCCCCTTGTCCCTGGCTCCTGAAGCAAATTGCTGAAGGCATCACTGACTCACAGTCCACATCTCAGGAGATGCATGTGAATGTGACAGAAGTGCTTCTGCCTCCTATCCTGCCATGGGGACCCTGGTCCCATGTCTGAGCCCCTCTGCGCTTCCACTGCACCCTTACCTGCCTCAGCCAGTTTCCATGTAGCAGATCTATTCCCAGCATCATCCCCTTCCTGGTACTACATTCCTTACTAGGTGGACGCTTTTGGTTGTGATAGAAACCTCCTGGATACAACTTGAGCTGATGGAGAACGTGTATTAAAAGGCTGTAGAGGCCGGGCTCGGTGGCTCAGCCTGTAATCCCGCGCGCCTTTGGGAGGCTGAGGTGAGTGGATTGCCTAGTTCGAGACCCGCCTGGGCAACTTGGCGCG